GTGGTGGGTAAAGCCACTTCGTGGATTCAATAGCTGTCCTTAGATACGTCCTGTATCCCCCCCATGGGAACTGCGAAACGGCATTTCCGTGATCCTATTCTATCCAACTTCCGTTATAACTCGGGGGGACCACTTTCTTGTCTTACTTCAATCTCAGACAAGTTGAATCATGTTGATTCATGTGGCTACAGATAAACTAGTATCTTCTTATTACTAGATATCTTATAACAACCCATAGATTATGATAAGATCTTTATCATAAATGAGTTGCGACCCCTTCATGTACAGGTAAGATCTTTACCCGTACAGGATCTTTAACTCATTAAGCCCGAGAGCCACTTCACTACTCAACACCTGGAACCCCTCGCTGATTGCCCTGCTCGCTGTTGAGAAGCTAATTAGTGCTATTCACACCTGATTTCACTGGCAGGTTTCGGGGATGACAGCAAACTGTCTAGTCGTACAAACAAGCTCTGACTGTTTAATTGTGTCGTAAAGATACAAGTTAAAGAAAGCAGGTGTGAATACATATCATGCATTGCAACGTTTTATGTAATGTTATTGCAAGTTTCTCTTGTAGACCTTTGGCATCTTGTACAATTATATTTTATCAACATATGTATGCATTCTTTGTATGTAAGAGATGAAACACACATAAACAAATTCTTTCTCTTATATCATTTTGTGAGGTTTAATTTTACAAAACATCTATGACAATGACATACTGTAATTTACTTACAGGCTTTATAATCTTCTACGATATTACTGTTTTTGTCGATACATTTCTAGCGTAAACTGAATATTTCAAGGAAAATACTATTACGCTAGTCTGTGACTAACATAGAGCACATTCATAATTTTGTTTCATCTAGATTTAATGCAAAAACATACGTTATCATACGAACATACATATACAAATTGTATAATACAGATTTCTTATATAAACATAAAACAAAGAGTCACGTGATAGGGCGTCATCAAATTTCCCCAATAGAACGTGCGGTATCTCAATTATTCAATATAGTGGCTGATCGTTTGTTGTCTATGACCAATTGTATCATCAGATACCTGTCACAGAGGAAGGGACAGGTGATGGGGCATGGGCAAAATTTCTGAAGACCACGTTTGGTCACTCAATAGCTGGATAGAGATTGATTATTGGCTATGCCGTTGACCAGTCGATATGCTGGGTTTTGGCTTTATCAACTCAAGCTATCATGTAACAGTTTGTGTATTGTAAACATACATAATCGTAGCGATCTATGAAATATACACATAAGACAAATAGGAGTAGATAGATCTCAGAGATCGAAAACATATTTTAGTGTTTTTGATAAGTAAACAAAATGATTGAAATCCAACCATTGAGTAGAGATAGTATCTATTTTTATATACATTTTACGCACACAACTAGTCCATAAAACATAATGGTTTGCTGTACATGTAAACATAATCTTCACCTTGATACAAATGAATTTCCAAATTAAAGTACACGTATTATAGAATTCAAAAAGTGACACGATACTGAATTATTATAATGTATAAACTTGCAGTTTAATCCCCCAAAATATTTATGAAGATGGGTGTGCCTATATTTATACTGAATGTAAACGAGGATCATAAGATTACAGATGTGCTTGTATGCATAAACATTAGAAAGAGGGGCGTGTGACTCCATGAAGCAGGTAGTCCAAAGATATAACATCGCATCTGTTTATTTCACACTTGTCACGGGACAAACCTTTCAACAAGGGTGTAACTACACATGCATTCTACCGGAGGCTGTTATTTCAAGGTCGAAAGATGTGTTTGATTATCTCATTACTGTGATCTGATTGAATGATTATACGCATGTATATAGATACCGTAATTGATACACTATCCAGCTTTTATTGACGATGGATCAATAGAGACTGTGTTCATTGATACACGTGATAATTACACCGGATTTGATAATTACAGACATCAAATACAAATGTTTTACACAATGCTCATGTAAATTGCATAGAAAACTGACAATTCAAATCAACATGAAACTTTCAACAGCTTTAACATAAATGCTTGAAATACCTTTGTATGGTTTACATGTAAGAACTCACTCACTCACTTCTGGCTATGTCTAAGAATCTATTGAATTACCAACTTACTGTGTCTTGTAACAAACGTATTAAAAGATTTCATTGTTGTAATAACACTGACATGTATATATATTCGATGCAAAGGCGCAACTTATCACTTTATATTCGATTAGGTAATATTATCAACTTTAGATTATGGAAAATAACTAGTTACAATTCAGTAATCTTTAAATTAGTAAGTTAAATTATGTCTAATCTATTCGAGCTTGGATGTATAATTATTTGTGTTTATACATTATGTTTCATTATATGAAACATGACAATGTAATAATACCTGAAAAGTAAATTCAAACTATTCTATTGTGTTTGAATTCTTTGTATGTCCTTGAAATTTCGTATATTGTTATCTATTTATTAGGAAGTTGAAGAAAATATAATCTTCTCTAACCTCTAAACCATTACATCTAATTCAATCAATGTGCAAAAGAAGTTTTTTAGTATTCATTCCCAATGAAGAGTACCAGACACTTACCTCTGTAAAAGCATCATAATCCCCTTTCTCGCCGACATGTGTTCATTTACCAAACGCTGTATAAGCCTATGATAGTGATTAGCAATTGCTATCAAAACATTTTAAATACTTCTTCTGATTGACACTAAAGGTAGCATCTCTCATTAGAAAGGCTAATATTTGCTCAGTACTTCTAAATTGGTTGACATAATAGGTACAGTGCGATTTTTAAAAGTATGACACACATGTGCGTCTCTCGCTGAATAAGGGGTGCTTTCTGTTAACAAATATATGTGGCACTCGCTGTGATAAACTGCCAATTACCGGCCCCATAAACATATCTCTCGCTGTGAGGAACTGATTAATTTGCCCCATATATGCGGCTCTCGGCCTTAATTAGTTAATCACTCATGCTAGCCTGTCCTAGACTGTGCTCATGGACTTTCAAACTAATAATTTTCCTTAGTAAAAGTTATCAACAAGTCAACGTGATAAAGGGTGAGATTTTCCAACTCAGCGCCTTTGAGGAACCGTTAGTTGCTGTGCTACAACGAGAGGCCCAAATTGTTGAATGCCTGAGACTTCTTCAGTGGCTATGTCTCGGAGGTAGTGGTTGGCAAACACTGTGTCCGACTTCCAAAAGCAGCCCTCCATAATTGCAAATATAGAACAATTTCCATGCAGAGCCAGTGTTGATGCCAGTGCTCTGACTTGATGTGGGTTGGAAGCTCTAGTAGGTTCTAGTCCTGCTGCTTTATACGCTCTCAATATGACGGCTCTCATCCAGAACGATATCATCATTCTTGAGACTTCTGCTGATGTCTCTGTGGATAATGGGATGAACAGACGCTTGACTTTTTGTCTCCTTGTCTCAGTCTTTTGAAGATATAACTTCAGGGCTCTGACCGGACACAAGGATAAGGCTTGGATACTCGTGTGAATAGCCACAGAGCCGAAGATATTCCAAACGGTAGGATGTTCCATTGGAAGTGCTGCCCTCTGAATAGGAATCGTAGATACTTTCTTGATTCTGGATGTATGGGGATGTGTAGATACGCATCCTGCAGGTCTATGCTGGCCAATGAAATATGCTTGACGGACGAGTAGTCTGAGTTGAGGTAGGTGGATCATTCTGAACCTGTCTGGTTTCAGTAGATAGTCTTTGTTGAATTTACGCATTTTGTAAATCAGTCTGAACTTCTCCTTGGAGTTCTTGGGTACTAGAAAAATTGGGGAATAGAAGCCTGGAGTGAGATGATGCTGATCTATTATCTCTACCGCCTCCTTCATAAGTAGTGAGTTGATGGCGTCTTGTAGTTTGTCTGCCTGCTCCTCTGCATAGTCGAAGACCATCGGGCTGAGGGTTAGCGGAGGTGTGGCCTTGAGTTGTACTCAGTATCCTTCTCGTAGTACTTGGGAGACGTAGTCGTCCTCTAGTATTCCCCAATTTTTCCAGTACCTTTGTAGACGTCCACCCACTGTCGACGGTTTTACAGGAACGGCTGGGGGTGGAAGACTCCAGTCGTTCCGAACCTTGATATCAACGTCTAGTTCCTTTGGATCCTCTGGGAGTGTGTCCTCTCCCTGAGTTTCCTCTGTAATTTCCGGATGGGGCGAAAAGGGAGAGAGTGACAAGTAAGGCTGGTTACATGACTGTTTGCACAGGAAAATGGCAAAAGGGAGGTAACTCGTGGGTGAGTGTATTTTTACGTCCGCTTCAGGAACTTCAAGGGATTCAAGTGTTTCCACTACCATTCGAAAAGACTGACTGACTGACTGAGTTTAGTTTTACCCTGCTTTTAGCAATATTCCAGCAATATCACGGCGGGGGACACCAGAAATGGGCTTAACATTCGAAAAGAAAAGGGAGATAAGCAAAAGATCATGAGTCAGGATAAGAAAAAATAATTATTTTGTGAGGGTTTGGTTCTAAATCTAACTTCAACTAAATGGGCTTAAATCTACAGATCACCTTGGTCTACACTGAAAACAGTGTATTTCCTAATTGCTCCCATGTGAAGAATTAAGTAAAGTGTTTCTTCTGAGGCAGTTGACACCCCAGACTAAATCATGTTTACATAACCCTTTAGACAAAGCCCTAAAATCTGCATCCAAATCTACAATCCATTGATAAGGAAGCTTTTTCAACATATTAAGCTGCGAGAAATACATCTCATTCCTGTATTACCCCAATTTAAACAACACATTTATTATGTTTTTTGTTGACAGACACACTCAGCAATATTTCAGCTACATGACAGTGGCCTGTACATCCAATGACGGATAGCTGACAATCACAAACATCATACAGCCTGACCATCCAATCAATTTGGTCGCCATCATTAGTTCCTGGAGACCAATTCTAACCCTGATTCTAAGATTCTAAGACGGTGCTAACAATGTAAGGGTACCTTGATGACCATCTGGATGGGGAGGGTGACGGGGAGGAAGTCGACGAAGGGCAGCTGGAGGGAAAGATCCAGGTTCTCTCCACAAAATGCAATGTGGGCTGAAGATTACCAAAGCAATATTAGGTGTGACACATATTCTGTAAAATGCTGCAAAATTGAAGCTTCACTAATTGAAGTAAGCCCTTTAGCTAAGTGTGATCTTCCTCTCAAACTAGTGTATATAATCTGAAATATGTACCATATGTTATATTTGGGATTACACTTTCTTAGTAAAGTAAAGTTTCTAGTACTTTTGGGGTTGAGTCCTATCCGGGATTTGAACCCACACCCTCAGAGTCAGGCACCTAATCGCCAGCACACAAAATCAGACGCCTAGACCGCTCAGCCACCACGGCTTCCCCAAAAATAGAAGTCGGACAACTGGTAGTCTAGACTGAGGACCCCTCTGATAAGTGTTAATTGGCATGGCTCCCATGGACTCAACCCAAAGAGTACTAGAATCTGTACTTTACTAAGAAAGTGTAATCCCAAACATGACATATGTTACAATTGATCACTTTCTAAAATGGCATTGTTGTATTTCATAATCTGAAATATGTTTAATTTTTTAACAATTGTTTTGAAGCTTGTTCTACTTTATCAGGAACACTCATGGAGAGTAGTCTTCAGGTCTTGTAAGTTGGTACTTGTAACAAATCTGATTGATCGAGGGAATTCTGCTAAAAATATTTTTTTATATCATTCTGACAAAAAATAAATTGATATTAACGATTATTTTTATTCATAAATAATAAACACAAACACCTACAAACATAGCTTCACATCTCAAGTCAATTTGTTAACATGAATCACTGACATAAATATTTGTATTCTCAGAAAGATAAATTTTAACAGACATTTCCTTATGTATGTACAGGCTGAGCATGATGAGTCCCTACCATTCTCAGGGTGTTGGGAGGACGTGTCAATCCAGTTGTACTCATTGGCCAGAGTCAGGAGTTCAAACTGCTTGACCGTCAGATTGACTGTCCACGTGTACGGGATGAAGCTGTAGATGTCTGGACAGGTCTTGGTGGACCAATCATCACTCAGGTCTGAAAGTATTAGTAAGTGAGTGAGCAATATTCCAGTAATATCATGGTGGGGGACACCAGAAATGGGCTTCACACAGTGTACCCATGTGGGGAATGGAACCCGGGTCTTTGGCGTGACGAGTGAACGCTTTAACCACTGGGCTACCCATTATCCCCTGAAAGTATGACATCATGGCAACAAGGAGTGAGCAGACGTGATAATATGTCCCTTGCAGAGATATGAAGAGCCATGGATCTGCTTCGTGGACTCTAATATGTATTCATTTTGATAGAGACGTGATAAAAATTTGATTAACAACATCTCAAAATCATGAGGATATGAGCAGGAAACTTGTGGATGATAGACTGGGTGATGTGGGTTTAATTCCCAGTTAATCCCGATGTGTCAGTTTCAAGAGTGAGTGAGTGAGTGAGTTTTGTTTTACGCCGCACTCAGCAATACCCCAGCTATATGGTGGTGGTTTGTAAATAATCAAATCTGGACCAGACAATCCAGTGCTCAACAGCATGAGCATCAATCTACGCAATTGGGATACGATGACATGTGTCAACCAAGTCAGTGAGCCTGACCACCCTGATCCTGTTAGTCGCCTTTCACGACAAGCATGGGTTACTGAAGATCAATTCTAACTTGGATCTTCACAGGTCGCCAGCTTCAAGAAAGAGATGCAGGTCTTAAACATTCCAGTATGAAGCAGGCACACCAAGAAACATACACAAATGCATGATCACAAGCTACTGTCATAGCCAAGGGACACAACTCTGCATGGCAAATTGCAGTGGCTTAGAAGATTTGGCAACTTGTGCCCCTTTGGATGATGGAATGAACACTGTACTTATTTCAATACATGCTTGACGCTGTTGGTCTTACATAGCTGATGTTAAGTTACCTGCAATAATCTAGGTTCATTACAATGTGATTTGAAATGCAGTATATACCTCGAAAGAAGTTCTTGTGTTCAAATATGAGATAGACAATGGCCTTGCAAGCAGTGAAGTCGAGTCGCCAGTCTTGGTGCTCATTCCACACGATAGGGTACGTCCCACTGATCTCAAACTGCAAAACAACACTCAGAGATTAGCTCACTGTGCTGAAGATTTAGTTTATTGTGATCAATATTTGTAAAAAAATCAACTAACATTAAAAAAAATGTGCATGGTGTTATACAATTATAGACTGGTGATGAGGTCAACACCTGTTTTTATGGACGCTGAATAGGTCTTCAGCAACCCATGCAATAAAGACCGAGGGCGCAAGTCCGGGTCAATATTGCTACACGCAGGTCCATAAAACAGGTATTGACCTAATACCTGTTTTATTAAAGACACCAGTCCATAATTGTTTTATTATGTAATTACCCAAAAAAAGCTTCTAAAAACCAAAACATGTCCATTTAGTCAAGAAAAGGAATTTTATTTTCGCTATAAACCAAAAACCTTATGTAAACAATACTGTGACATGTAAACAACAGAATGACGTCAAATGTAAGTAAAGCTGGTCACATGACTGTTTGCGCGGGAAAGGGCAAAAGGGAGGTGAAACGTGTGTGAGTGTATTTTTACGTCTGCTTCGAGAACTTCAAGGGATTCAAGTGTTTCCACTACCATTCGAAAAGAAAAGGGAGATAAGCAAAAGATCATGATTTAGGATGAGAAAAGATAATCTATTTTTAGTAACTCAAGTCAGTATGACTTTTGGTCGGACCTTGGTTGGAGTCAATATGCTTTTCTGTCGACGGTCACGTGACCGCCTCTAGACCAATCAGGTAGTTGGAAAAATATGCTTACATAATAATTGCTTTTAGTGATAAACTATCAAAGATGGTGATATCTTGTGATCTTAATGCAGAACCTGTGAGACTCTCATTTATCCATACTACATCTGTGTGCTTGTGTGTTGCTCAAAACACAATCAGCAATGTTCAAACTGTATGGTAGTGGCAAGTTTGTTTGTTCTATAACACTGTACACAGTAATATTCAAACGCCCAAACACAACAGCCTAGTGCATGTGGAAGACAGACTTTCCATGCAGCTTGTGGCAACATGCTGATGTGTTTCAGCACCCTTGTTTTTCGCTGTTTTTGACAATGTTTCATTTCACTCAACAAATATTGAATCAGTTGCTTCACTGCATGTTCCAACATGTTGTTTAATGTTCCCAATTAAGCACACAAAAAGTTGCATTTACCTTAGAGTATAAATAACCTCACCACCTTTAAGTTCATATATGGTAATCAAATTTTAGGGTGTTCCCATACTTTTTGTTTGTAGTAAACATCTACCTGCATATGTGTTGCTCAACACGCAATCAGCAATGTTCCAACTGTATGTTCATATATTTTACATGGGACTTTATATTTGACATGATACAAACACTGACAGACTACCTGACTACTACTTGGGAAAACCAGGGAGTTCCTGTGAAGCGATAGATACAGAATATTGGTTGTGTCAGCCAGTGTGTAATATAATTGCTGAAACTCATCCAAGTAAACAAAATGGAGAAAAGTTGTATGCTTCTCTCGAGGGTAATATGGTCGGATGTATGCCTCTTTGTAGCAGTGTCACCCGAGACGGTAGGCGAGGGATGACACTGCTACAAAGATGACACTGCTACAAAGAGGCGTACATCAGACCGTATTACCCGAGGGAGAAGCATACAACATATTTATCTTACCGCCATGTTAAATGTACGAAATATCATTTTATTTTATGTTAAAGATCGCTACCGACTATATGACATGCCAAAAAATGACATGCGTCTGCCTCTCGACTGGATTTTTAACATCAGTGAAACATATTCTGACAAGCATAAAACTTCTATAAAAAATGTAAATTATGTTTAAGCTGAGTGTGCAAACCACTCAATGTATAAAATAGCTTAAATGAAGCAGTGAAAGTCGGTAAAATAAATCTGTACAAAGTGAACACAAAAACTGCTGATCTAACGGTTTTCGAACTCCGGGCACGGAATGCGTCATATTATGATGTCATACGATTGTTAGTGCTTCAGCTTCTCGGCGGAGAGCTTGGCGGGTTTCCGTGGCAGTGGGTAATATTTTTTCCAGTTGTCACCCACCTAGGAGGGGTGACACGGAAACTTGTTAAACCATCATTGACCAATAAAATTAAAGTATTTTACATGGAGGTAAGATAAAAAACTATGGACTTAATCCATGCCGAAACTGACTCTGGCACAAGGAATTAGAACAACCGGATTCTGCTTTGTCAGTCAGGAGAATCACACTGTACAGATCATCAGGGGTTTACAGTTAGCTGATGAGTGATCAACCTACCTCAAACGTTTCACACTCCACCAGAGACCTGAACGTCATGCTTGTGGTCATGTCCAGCAACATAAGCTGACCCTTGACCTTTGAGGTGTATCCTTTCTCTTCGATCATCCAGGGAATGATGGCCTCCACGTATGACCCTTGACCTGTGTTCATGTGTACAGCCTGAGTCTCCTGGAAGGGGTGGAAGGGATATGGTTGAACTTATTTCTTCAGAATTACGAAGTTATCATAGGGTTGTATGCGCTCTGATACACACTCTTATACCCAGAGTTCAATAGGTTCCTGCAGCAAAATCAATCTGTCCTTTTTATTGTTTTCATTTTTGAAAAATTTAGACATTTTGATAAACATATATCATGTAATTGTTAGGTTTCATTGAGAAAATACCCATTTGCATATTTATCTCTTGTTTACATGCTAATGCTCCATGTGAAGACAACAATGCCCAATGGAGAGCCGGTGGTTGGTTGGTTGTTGTTTTGATTGACATCGTACTCAGTGTAGCGGCCATAAAATTTCTGAGTCCCATGCTGGGATTCGAATCACAGACCTTCTGATCCGAAGTCGGACGCCTTGTCCACATGACCAAAGAGGTTAACCCCATCAGCAAGCTGACAAGGTAAGGATGTCATCTGTGGGATGACTCCACGCCCTGCTACATAGTTAATATTCCCGCTATACGGCAACGGTCTGTAAATAATCAAGTCTGGACCAGACAATACAATGATCAACAGCATGAGCATCGATCTACGCAATTGGGATATGATGACATGTGTCAACCTAGTCTGCAATCCTGACCACCCGATCCTGTTAGTGGCCTCTTACGACAAGCATTGGTTGCTGAAGATCAATTCTAACCCGGACCTTCACGGGTGGAGACCTGGTCACTATAATGTGTAAAACATATTGTCATGGTCCTCACTTTCCCAGTTCTCACAGCATATCTTTTTTATTGAAAAAACATTTCCGATTTCAGAATATGCTTCTTTCTTCACAACCAAAAACATCTGATACATGATGTGCAAATTAGCCTGTGGCACAGAGCTTAGCGTTCTCTTTCATACAGGACATCCAAGTTAAGTCTTGGGTGAATCTGGACTGGCTCGACTGAACACCTCCCAAATATTTGAACATCTTTTTATCCAGGTGAATCGGTCTGAAAACCACCTATTTCACAGCATCCTATAACCTGGGGCAGGTAATGTTATGAAGTACAACAATGTGCACATAAATAACACTGAGAAACAGGAATCAAAGAGGTGGCCATCTTGAGTCAGATATATGCAGAGATGCCAACCCCAAAGTGTTGCAAATAATAGTTTCAAGGATCAAAATTAGTAGTTTGACCATAAAATTTGTAGTCAACTAAATACTTAAAATCATGATGGATTCTGAGAAATCGAGAGTGAAGTTTTAATGTCACATATCTGTTTCGTATAATCGATCGGAAGGAACGGTCATGTGGTTAAATCATTCTGATAGGATCGTCAAATCGTAAAGGTATTGAAATCAGCTTTAGATTTCTGATAGAAAATTTTGCTAAAATTATGTTTGTTACTTGCAATTTCTCCAGTTCAAATATGTCATTAAATTTGATGGAAGGAAGGTAAGTGAAGTCTGAAAATGTATTTAATCAACGAAAATATATGTTTTTGTCTATATATCTGACTTTTAATGAATATTCTTCAAATTTTGTAGAATTTCTAGCGCAATCGTATTAGTGTAGTTTAAGGCTAAAATTTGTAGTGACTACGATAAAATCGTAGAGGTTGGCATCTCTGTGTATATGGCTTCAGCTAATCTTGATCCTGCATAACTCTGATCTGAATTTATTTGTTGCTTAACACGTCACTCAGCAATATTCCAGCTGAATGATGGCCATCTGTAAATAACTGAGTCTGGACCGGACAATCCAGTGATCAAGATTGGGAGCAACGATACACACTGTCGAGATACAATGATGTGATTAACCGAGTCATTAAACCTGACCAATCAACCAATTAGGCTGCCTGTCAGAACCAGCACAGGTTGCTGGGGAACTATGTTAACACAGAATGTCGACATTGAGCCACTTGATACGCAAATTTGACACAGTCAAATCATACTTACAGAGTTTTTGGTAAAGAGTAAATCAAATGTTGCAGCTGAAATGATGGTGAGCTTGACCTCAAAAGTTTTGTAAATGCGTTTTTCCCCTGGTTCGGACTCAACTGTCGGGACTTGTGGCTGGTAGTCTGGTGGGTAGAAGAACTTCCATAGGTGCTCCCTGGCAACAAAAAACAATGTATCTTACTTAAAAGAAGTTAAAGAATATCTAATCATTTTCATATGACAAGTCTGGGCACGTCACATGGTAAGTTTGCGCGGGAAAGAGGAAGGGAGGTAACTCGTGGGTGAGTATTGTACGTCCGCTTCGGGAACTTCAAGGGATTCAAGTGTTCCACTACCATTCGCAAAGGAAAGGGAGATAAGCTAAGATCATGAGTCAGGATAAGGAAAAATATTAATTCATATTACTATAGCTAATGATTAGGTATAATTTAACATGTTTCATATAACACGTTTTATATGGGATTACACAAGTACAGGTTCTAGTGGTTTTGTTGGGCTGAGTCCCATTTGGGATTCAAACCCATACCCTCAGAGTCAGGCACATAATCGCCAGCACGCAAAGTCAGCCATCTAACCCACTCAGCCACATCGGCTTCCACAAAAATTGAAGTCAGACAACTGGTAGTCTTGACTGCAGACTTTGTGTACCCATCTGACACAAATTGGCACGGCTCCCATGGCTGAAAGCTATGAATACACAATGTCATTTAGAAAGTGGATGATAACTTCTGTATTGTTTGTAAAGACATTTATGATTACCTCTGCCGGTCGACCCAAGGGCCATAGTTGAAGTCTGTGTTGCGTCCGCACTTAATGTCCACGCCCATACAGGGGTATGTCCGCCGCACTACCACCTCACCATCAGCCATCTCCATCAGCTCAGGCTCATGGGGAACAACCCCTGTAAAAGGTCACATTACCAAAGTAAACAAAAGCAGGTCGGGCAACATCAGACATTTACTCCTCTACATTTCAATTATTTCCTAAGATTTCAATGACTTGAACAAGGATAATGTAATTTTCTGAAAATTAGCAAAGGATATAGTGCCGTGTTGGAGACACAGGTGCTCTCCCCACCGTCCACTAGGGGGAAGAAGGAGAGAGTGAAGCGTGGGAAGACGGGTGGCGCCGTTTTCCCGCCAAAACTGAGGGAGACAACTCGTGGTGAGTAGTGATTTTACGTCTGCTTTTTTGAAAGAGAGCTTCAAAAAGGAGATACAAGTGTTCCACTAACGTTCGGGAAGGAAAGGAGACAAGCAATAATACATGAGTCAGGATAAGGAAAAATAATTATTAAAAGAGACTTTACCAGGTTCATCCATGTAGAAGTATATATCTACATCTCGAGACTGCAGGATCACGAATCCTTCTCCCATAAACCTTGGAGGCCTGCAATACAACCAGTCAGAACCATCAGTCATCTGTTAAGGATGGCACACAAATAGCTGGATAATATTACAAATAAAGTATGAGCCCATGCGCAATGTCCAGTTACACATGTGTTATCTTGTTTAAAATACAGTAGCAAGGGGCAAAATGCTGTGAAAGGAGACATAAAATGGACCCTGAAAAGAAAAAAAACCCATGGCAATAATAAAATCAAAGCAATCATAAAATTGATTACACAATGCCATTTAGAAAGTGGTCAAATGTAACATTGTGTTATATTTGGGATTACACTTTCTTAATGAAGTACCGATTCTAGTACTTTTTGGGTAGAGTCATATCCGGGTTCGAACCCACACCCTTAGAGTCAGGCACCTAATTGCCAGCACATAAAGTCAGCTGGCTAACCCGCTCAGCCACCGCGACTTCCACCACTTTTAGCAATATTCCAGCAGTATCATGGTGGGGGACACAAGAATTGGGTTTCACACATTGTACACATGTAGGGAATTGAACCCGGATCTTTGGCGTAATGAGCGACCACTAGTTTACCCTACCGCCAAAAGGGGAAAATGATTGAACAGCCTAATTTGCACCAGAAATGGGCTTCAAACATTGTAGCCATGTGATGTCATCGACGTGATAGGCAAATCAGGGCTACAGATAAGGGGCGTACAGGCGTAATGTACGCATGTATGCACGTAAAGACAATCTGGGACTGATATCATGAAATAGTGTCCCAACCCTGCAGGGAACAAGGGTACATTTGGTCCAACCAACTGATCAAGTAGGCTGCTTTGTACACCAAGTGTATTTTGCTGGGGACCCAGATTTCATATAAGGAGACTTATGATACAAAGATATCAATAATTCTACAATAACCATAAAGGTCCAGTATCTTAAATGATACATATAACTGAATCACAATAAGATACATTATTACCCATGTGGTCAACATATGGGTAGTTGCATACTAATTTCGTACGTCACACGAGTGTCGTGATCGCTGACCTGTGTCGTATCTAAATGAACGACTTGACCTGAGATTCTAACGATTTGATTGGATAACTGATGACCTCTCAATTAGGTCACATTCTGAAGTAACTATTTTTTCATTCTAAACAAACACGTGAATTCATTCATTCTACAACTTAAATGCATTGTGGGAATGTAAACATTGCAAACGTTGCCGTGTCGCTGTTTAATTATGAGTCGAACTGAGACATTATATCCGTCGAAAACCATAAATGCAATGCTCCCACCAGTGATGTTAGCCGAATAAAGCAACTGCAAACCAAGAAACGGGGTGCTACGGAGTAGTTTACTGTAGGAGGCTGTGCGAGGCGATGACAACTGACATGCATCGTGACGTCGGTTACCAAGGCAGTGACGTCATTACAGCGTGACGTCATGCAAATATTGTACTACAGTACAAACTCTTCCGCAACCTCTTTATGAAACCAGTTTCAGTTTGAAACCATAGAAATAACAAAAAATACGCTATTTTGTCAATTTAATGCATGTAAGACGTGGGTAATAAATAAAATACCACACTCGGTCTCATTACATACGAATTATATGAAACTCGTGACCTTCCTATGGTATCTGACCATGCGAAAGGAAGGACACTCGTTTCGTATAATTCATATTTAATGAGACCTTGTGTAGTATTCTCTATATAGTAAACTGCTTGTCAAACAAAACATACTACCTATCAAAGCTTAGATGTATTCAACTCAGGGAAAGAACACACTGGAAGAGACATACTGAATGTGCAAGGCAGAAACATTTGGCACACAGTTATTTAAAAGAAACATTAGACGATAAGATAGGAGGAGGCAACACCGACTACTCACAGAGTTGATGTTAATCTTTGTGACTGGGATCAAGTCTCTCCAGTGCAAGCCGTCTGCATTCTCAGGAACCTTGATTCCCCTGCCAACAATTGTTGGTAAGTATTACATAAAGAAAATATGGGGGAAGTTTTAGGTATGTTTGAATTGACTGACTGACTGAGTTTGGTTTTACGCCGCTTTTAGCAATATTCCAGCAACATCACGGCGGGGGACACCAGAAATGGGCTTCACGCATTGTACCCATGTGGGGATTCGAACCCGGGTCTTCGGCGTGATGAGCCAACGCTTTAACCACTAGGCTACCCAACCGCTCCCCCGTTTGAATTGAAAGCAAATGTGAGCCTCATGCTGATCCTCGGTCCATGCACCTACCTGCTTCCTCATTACATAGTACATAGCTGAAGTTGTATATGTCCTTATTGAACCTTGGCCCCCACTCAGTGTCCCCATCAGACAACATCTGTTGTGCACCACTCCCTAACTCTATGTCCACCCCTTCTGCTGTGCACCACTCACTAACTCTATGTCCATCCCTTCTGCTGTGACACCACTCCCTAACTCTATGTCCACCCCTTCTGTTGTGCACCACTCCCTAACTCTATGTCCACCCCTTCTACTCTGCACCACTCCCTAACTCTATGTCCATCCCTTCTGCTGTGACACCACACCCTAACTCTCTATGAATCCTTCTACTGTGCACCACTCCCTATCCTCTATGTCCATCCCTTCTGTTGCACCACTCCCCTAACTCTATGTGTCCACCCTTCTGTTGTGCACCACACCCTAACTCTATGTCCACTCCTTCTGCTGTGCACCACCGTAACTCTATGTCCACCCTTCTGCTGTGACACCACACCCTAACTCTTTGTCCACCCCCTTCTGCTGTGCACCAATTCCCTATCTCTATGTCCACCCTTCTGCTGTGCACCACTCCCTATCTCTATGTCCACCCCTTCTGCTGTGCACAACACTTCCTATCTCTATGTCCACCCTTCTCTTGTGCACCACTCCCTATCTCTATGTCCACCCCCTTCTGCTGTAACACCACACCCTAACTCTATGTCCACCCCTTCTGCTGTTCCCCACTCCCTAACCCTGTGACCACCTCTTTTTCCTGCTGTGCCCCCAACTCCCCAAACCCCACCCCCTCGCTGTGTGGTCCTCTCCTAACCCTATGACCACCCATCGTGACTATCCCTTCTGTTGTGCCCCTCTTTAACCCTGTGACCACCCCTTCTACTGTGCACCACTCACTAACCTCTATGTCCACCCTTCTGTTGTGCACCACAGTCCTATCTCTATGTCCATCCCTTCTACTGTGCACTCCCTAACTCTATGTCCACCCCTTCTGTTGTGCACCACTCCTCTAACTCTATGTCCACCACTCCTTCTGTTGTGCACCACCACCAACTCTATGTCCACCCCTTCTGCACCACTCCCTGTGCACCACTCCCTCAACCATCTGTCCACCCCCATTCTGTTGTGCACCACTTCAACTCTATGTCCACCCTGTTGTGAACCACCCCTTCTCTGCTGTGCACCACTCTCCTAACTCTATGTCCATCCCTTCTGTTGTGCACCACCCCTAACTCTATGTCCATCCCTTCTGTTGTGCACCACTCCCTAACTCTATGTCCATCCCTTCTGTTGTGCACCACTCCCTAACTCTATGTCCACCCCTTCTACTCTGCACCACTCCCTAACTCTATGTCCATCCCTTCTGCTGTGACACCACACCCTAACTCTATGTCCACCCCTTCTGCTGTGCACCACTCCCTATCTCTATGTCCATCCCTTCTGTTGTGCACCACTCCCTAACTCTATGTCCACCCCTTCTGCTGTGCACCACACCCTAACTCTATGTCCACCCCTTCTGCTGTGCACCACACCCTAACTCTATGTCCATCCCTTCTGCTGTGACACCACACCGTAACTCTTTGTCCACCCCTTCTGTTGTGCACCACTCCCTATCTCTATGTCCACCCCTTCTGCTGTGCACCACTCCCTATCTCTATGTCCACCCTGCTGTGCACCACCTTCTCTATGTCCACCCCTGTGCACCACTCCCTATCTCTATGTCCACCCCTTCTGCTGTGCACCACCCCTATCTCTCTATGTCCACCCCTTCTGCTGTGACACCACCACCCCTGCTGTGAACTCCTCATTTGTCCACCCTTCTTCTGCTGTGCACCACCTCCCTATCTCTATGTCCACCCCTTCTGCTGTGCACCACCCCTATCTCTATGTCCACCCTTTCTGTGCACCACTCCCCTATCTCTATGTCCACCCCTTCTGTTGTGCACCACTCCCTATCTCTATGTCCACCCCTTCTGCTGTGACACCACTCCCTATCTCTATGTCCACCCCTTCTGTTGTGCACCACTCCCTATCTCTATGTCCACCCCTTCTGCTGTGACACCACACCCTAACTCTATGTCCACCCCTTCTGCTGTGAACACCACACCCTAACTCTATGTCCACCCCTTCTGCTGTTCCCCACTCCCTAACCCTGTGACCACCCTTTTTCCTGCTGTGCCCCAACTCCCTAACCCCACCCCGTTGCTGTGGCTCTCTCCCTAACCCTATGACCACCCATCGTGACCATCCCTTCTGTTGTGCCCCCTCTCTTTAACCCTGTGACCACCCCTTCTACTGTGCACCACTCCCTAACTCTATGTCCACCCTTCTGTTGTGCACCACTCCCTATCTCTATGTCCATCCCTTCTACTGTGCACCACTCCCTAACTCTATGTCCACCCCTTCTGTTGTGCACCACCCACCCTAACTCCCCTAACTCTATGTCCACCCTTCTGCTGTGCACCACTCCCTAACTCTATGTCCACCCCTTCTGTTGTGCACCACTCCCTAACTCTATGTCCACCCCTTCTGTTGTGCACCACTCCCTAACTCTATGTCCACCCCTTCTGTTGTGCACCACTCCCTAACTCTATGTCCACCCCTTCTGCTGTGACACCACACCCGTAATTCTATGTCCACCCCTTCTGCTGTGCACCACTCCCTATCTCTATGTCCACCCCTTCTACTGTGCACCACTCCCTAACTCTATGTCCACCCCTTCTGCTGTGACACCACACCCTAACTCTATGTCCACCCCTTCTGCTGTGACACCACACCCTAACTCTATGTCCACCCCTTCTACTGTGCACCACTCCCTAACTCTATGTCCACCCATTCTACTGTGACCCCACTCCCTAACCCTGTGACCCCTCTCCATAACCCCTTACCCACTACTGCTGCTGTGCCTTTCTGCAGTGCCCCACTCCCTAACCCTGTAGCCACCCTTTTTCCTGCTGTGCCCTAACCATATAATCACTTCTAATGCACACATGCTTGCTGTCTATATTTATGACACAAGTCTGTCTCACTCCCTCTAGCCTCCTATTCCATTGTAGTCCTGACGTTTTCACTCTATAGCCTGCTAATTAACCTTGAGCTCTGCTGCCTGCAAATCAGCCCTAATATCCATGCTTATCTGTCCTCAACTGTCTGATAATAAGCTCTGATTCAACCAGTGCCCTGCTGCCTGCTAATTAGGTATGACATTACCTGCCCTCTCCCGGTGCTCTGCACACCTGGTCCGACTCAGTATCTGGACTCAGCCCAAACAGCTTCTCCAGTCTGGCGTAGTTGGAGGACCGGTTGTACACGTGGAACTCCACTCCGTCCAGGAACAAGGACATTCTTGTGTCAGAGTGGGAGAAGTCTGAGCAGAGAATCAATAATAATTTGTTTTGCAACAGGCCAAGATTGTGAAGAATGTGAAGATTGTGAAGGCTGAGGGCTCAATAACTATCAAAACGATTCTTCACTAATGACCTTTCTTCAAAAGTATGGCTGAAATTTTGATTATTCTTCAGCATTTGAAAGCTTCAGTAGTTGTTGGTGATGATGATGATGATGATGATGATGATGATGATAAAAATAAAAATGATAAGAATAATGAAAACAATATTAGCCGTCTCGCAATGCACATAACTCCATAACCAATACAGTAGAACACGGATATAACGAACTCCAAGGGACCAAGAAATTTAGTTCGCTATATCCGTTGTTCGTTATTCACATTTGGCCGCCATCTTGGATTGTAGAGATGAAGACATTCACAGACATTACCTATATCATGTTGATAAATATGAAGTTTATTTTTATAATAAAATTGAAATAATACAACTACAACTTAAATAAATTTATATTTTAATGAAAATGCAAGCTTACATTTATAATGTCCAGATAAACCACGAAAGAAGCAAAAACTGTAGCGATTTTTTTCTCCATTTGTGACATGTCATAACATGCCCGTGCCTTTTTCTTTTCTATTTTCATTTATGTAATCAGGCTTTCCGTTCGTTGACATGACACAACAACGGGAAATACCTCCGTTTTCGAAGCTTCGTATGAATAACATGCGAGGCGAATCGTGTGGTGTCTGGTATCGTTCGACAGCTCTGGAACATCAACAATATCACTGTACCCTTGCCGAGAGTATTTTCACAGTTGTAAAAAGCGATTTTATTGGATAAAGATTGGTTTCTAATGACGCTTTTTTGCCACAGTCTGCTATATCAGACAAGTGTCAAAATCAGACAAGTGACCTAAGGCAGCCAATCATACTACGGCAATGGATACCGTCCTCGTCAACGAAAACTTTCGTTTTTCATAACGTTGTGGCCGATTATTCGGCCTGCTGTGTTGAATGGGTTAAACACGATATGTTTGTTTTGCTAATTAATTAATGACCATCAAACAATGTTGATTCACCGCCAACAAGATTGATGTATACTGTACCGCTAAGTGGCTGAGCTGACACAGGGTGAGTTCGCTAATCACATCGTTAATTGGGTCTTGGGGGTAGTAAATCAGTTCGCTTTAGCCGTTAATTCGCTACTCACGAGTTCGTTATTCACGTATACTTTTAATGATATTATAAAGGACTGTTGACGGGACTTTTAAATTTGTTCGCTATATCCGTTTGTACGCTATACCCGTGTTCGCTATAACCATGTTCTACTGTATATGCTCATGAAACTGCATGAATGATCACTTGATCTTCTACCCTCAGCTCCCTGGGGGTGGATACAGCCAAATCTGCCTGTGAGGTGCTGGAAGGTTAAGAGTGACATTGCCCACTCATTCTACCAGGTACCCAGATGAACAGAGGCATATTAAGCAAACGGAGACTCCACATGTTCTACATGTGCTTCAGGATGGGAGTGAAGCTGCTGAAAATCATCACCCATTCCAGGACACTTTAAATGGATTCTGGGACAGTAATGAGTCATCTTGCTGCAAATGAATTCTTATCATCACAGTAAATAAAAGGCCAATACCATTTAACACACATGCACTTCTATGTTTTAGTGAGTTCGGACTTCCACCATTTTGGACAATATCTCCATAGTTTTGTCATGACATACGTGGAAGGTTTGCGCACCAGGTATGGTGCTTCTGAACCAAGAAACATAATAACCGTGGCGCACCTGGAACTTGAAACCATGATAAACAGTTACTGACATAGCTAAGAAAAGCAACTATGGAACAAGTTCCAAAAAGTCATTGAAGCGCAAATACGATCGTAACTCCCATACCTTAATGAGTGAGTGAGTTTAGTCTTAAGCCGCGTTCAACAATATTCCGGCAACATCATGGCAGGGGACACCAGAACCCTTTAACCATTAGGCTACCTCACTGGCCCTGTCATACCTTAACATGGAGCAATAACAGTCATAGTGGAAACATAGTTTTGTAGAATGGACCCATGGAAAGGTCCCTGAGATGACCAAGCTTCTCTGGTCATGTACTGCTATGTTATGTCAGCAAGTGAACATGAGATGTGCTAAACACCACAATGTTCTTGTCAGAGTTGGTGAGTGAGTGAGTTTAGTTTTACTCCGCACTCAGCAATATTCCAGCTATATGGCAGCGGTCTGTAAATAATCGAGTCTGGACCAGACAATCCAGTGATCAACAGCATGAGCATCGATCTGCGCAATTGGGAACCGATGACACGTGTCAACCAAGTCAGCGAGCCTGACCACCCTATCCCATTAGTCGCCTTTTACGACAAGCATAGTCGCCTTTTATGACAAGAATGGGTTGCTGAAGACCTATTCTACCCCGGATCTTCACGGGTCTGTTCTTGTCAGACCACAAGACCACGGATCAGTGGATGGTGCGAGCATCAGAGCTGAGTTGGCACACTGGTCAGTGCTACTATTCCTTTTGAATCTACTAGCTTGAACTTGCATTATTTTCAGTAGATTTCAGAGTACTCTTGTAAGCTAAACTTCAATGACAGAACTTATTTTCAAAGGATGGAGACTTCAAACTGGTGGTAAAGTAAGTGCAGGAGGTGTGTCTTATCAAACCTCAGGAAATATTTGAGCAATAGCTGTAACAGCTTCATGTGGGAGGAAAGCCAAAAGTGATGTTGGTCTCAGTTACCTCTTTGTTAAAAACATACAAGCATGGGTATGGTGCTGAGTTTATGCTCAGAGTGGCCCTTCCAACAGTGGCCCCTGAGATTTCACGTCTTGTTAACGACCCTTCCCACTGGCCTCTCTTAATCCAATCAGCTTAATTACCAACAGTGTTGGACTAATTACCCAAGCGTGATGCTTTGAATGAGCTCTGAGTACCATGATGAAACACAAACCAAAGAGTGTTTTACGATACATTTACATTATTCCTGTCCATGGCTTTACATATACATAGCAATACATCCTCACAAGTCAATACACATTTTCACGATTAACTTTGGGTTTTGACAACTAATATGTTGTTCCACACTTGTTACTACTGTCTTCTACTCTTTGTTTTGACAACGTTCACCCACGTTCACACCTTCTTAACAGCATCAGCAGCCACCTTCTACTCACAGTAGCAGATTATTACTACTGTCTTCTACTCACAGTAGCAGATTATTACTACTGTCTTCTAAGTTCTACTCACAGTAGCAGATTATTACTACTGTTTTCTACTCACAGTAGCAGATTATTACTACTGTCTTCTACTAACAGTAGCAGATTATTACTACTGTTTTCTACTCACAGTAGCAGATTATTACTACTGTCTTCTACTCACAGTAGCAGATTATTACTACTGTCTTCTACTCACAGTAGCAGATTATTACTGTCTTCTACTCACAGTAGCAGATTATTACTGTCTTCTACTCACAGTAGCAGATTATTACTACTAGAGCTGTGTATCGTGGTCTAAGTGGCGAGACGATATATCCTGATACCAGTTTACTTAGGCGAGCCGATATATCATGAAAGTATTGGCAAGGAACCTGCGAGACGATTATCATCACGATACAATGGTGGCGATACGATACGTATCCCGATACTTTACAATTTCTAATAGCAGAACATATATGACAGATAAAATGACTTTATCTTTAAAATCTTTATTTGTTATACAGCAGATCTTGTGTTACATTCACACACACTTAAAAGCTGTTCATTTAATAGAGTTTCAGCATTTAATGCTTTTAAAGTACAGTCAAACATATTCAGTATACTTTGATCTAACATATATAAGTTTGAAACCCAAGTTTCCTTTGGGAAAGTGTGTTTCTGCAACCGATGCTTTCACAAACAATTGAATGTAATTTATATCAGAATTCAGAATCACTGAAAAAACTCTTAAGTATGCTTTCTAAATTTTATCTTCTCTTTGTTCTCTTTCTTAACAAAGCTAAGACGCCGCTCGTATATGTTAATAAATGGTGTTATTTGTCAAACAACTAAAACATATTTCAATTACTAAAGACAAGTATTCTACAGTTCACAGAGTTTGAAACATGTTCACACTCTTTCACTTATACACCAACTCCTTTGTCCATGTAACAAAGATAACAGACACAAACAAATTCCTAAAAGGTTCAATTTGTTTTTAAAATTCAGAAGAATTTCAAAGAGACTCCCTTCCTATTCCTAATGCAATACTCCTTACAACTTTAACTAGTATTGAAGTTGTATCGGGATATATCGTCTCTTGTGGCGATACATCGATGTATCGTGGACCCTTGCGATATAAATATCCTGATATATTGCCTAAATGTGTTTTGTATTGATGCACTCGTATCGCGTAGTTGACGATGCAAACATCGATACTATCGATGAATCTTTACACCACTAATTACTACTGTCTTCTAATCACAGTAGCAGATTAATACTACTGTTTTCTACTCACAGTAGCAGATTATTACTACTGTCTTCTACTCACAGTAGCAGATTATTACTACTGTTTTCTACTCACAGTAGCAGATTATTACTACTGTCTTCTACTCACACTAGCAGATTATTACTACTGTCTTCTACTCACAGTAGCAGATTATTACTACTGTCTTCTACTCACAGTAGCAGATTATTACTACTGTCTTCTACTCACAGTAGCAGATTAATACTACTGTTTTCTACTCACAGTAGCAGATTATTACTACTGTTTTCTACTCACAGTAGCAGATTATTACTACTGTCTTCTACTCACAGTAGCAGATTATTACTACTGTCTTCTACTCACAGTAGCAGATTATTACTACTGTCTTCTACTCACAGTAGCAGATTAATACTACTGTTTTCTACTCACACTAGCAGATTATTACTACTGTCTTCTACTCACAGTAGCAGATTATTACTACTGTCTTCTACTCACAGTAGCAGATTATTACTACTGTTTTCTACTCACAGTAGCAGATTATTACTACTGTTTTCTACTCACACTAGCAGATTATTACTACTGTCTTCTTCTCACAGTAGCAGATTATTACTACTGTCTTCTACTAACAGTATCAGATTATTACTACTGTCTTCTACTCACAGTAGCAGATTATTACTACTGTCTTCTACTCACAGTAGCAGATTATTACTACTGTCTTCTACTCACAGTAGCAGATTATTACTACTGTCTTCTACTCACAGTAGCAGATTATTACAACTGTTTTCTACTCACAGTAGTAGATTATTACTACTGTCTTCTACTCACAGTAGCAGATTATTACTACTGTCTTCTACTCACAGTAGCAGATTATTACTACTGTCTTCTACTCACAGTAGCAGATTATTACTATTGTCTTCTACTCACAGTAGCAGATTATTACTACTGTCTTCTACTCACAGTAGCAGATTATTACTACTGTCTTCTACTCACAGTAGCAGATTATTACTACTGTCTTCTACTCACAGTAGCAGATTATTACTACTGTCTTCTACTCTCAGTAGCAGCAGATTATTACTACTGTCTTCTACTCACAGTAGCAGATTATTACTACTGTCTTCTACTCACAGTAGCAGATTATTACTACTGTCTTCTACTCACAGTAGCAGATTATTACTACTGTCTTCTACTCACAGTAGCAGATTATTACTACTGTCTTCTACTCACAGTAGCAGATTATTACTACTGTCTTCTACTCACAGTAGCAGATTATTACTACTGTCTTCTACTCACAGTAGCAGATTATTACTACTGTCTTCTACTCACAGTAGCAGATTATTACTACTGTCTTCTACTCACAGTAGCAGATTATTACTACTGTCTTCTACTCACAGTAGCAGATTATTACTACTGTCTTCTACTCACAGTAGCAGATTATTACTACTGTCTTCTACTCACAGTAGCAGATTATTACTACTGTCTTCTACTCACAGTAGCAGATTATTACTACTGTCTTCTACTCACAGTAGCAGATTATTACTACTGTCTTCTACTCACAGTAGCAGATTATTACTACTGTCTTCTACTCACAGTAGCAGATTATTACTACTGTCTTCTACTCACAGTAGCAGATTATTACTACTGTCTTCTACTCACAGTAGCAGATTATTACTACTGTCTTCTACTCACAGTAGCAGATTATTACTACTGTCTTCTACTCACAGTAGCAGATTATTACTACTGTCTTCTACTCACAGTAGCAGATTATTACTACTGTCTTCTACTCACAGTAGCAGATTATTACTACTGTCTTCTACTCACAGTAGCAGATTATTACTACTGTCTTCTACTCACAGTAGCAGATTATTACTACTGTCTTCTACTCACAGTAGCAGATTATTACTACTGTCTTCTACTCACAGTAGCAGATTATTACTACTGTCTTCTACTCACAGTAGCAGATTATTACTACTGTCTTCTACTCACAGTAGCAGATTATTACTACTGTCTTCTACTCACAGTAGCAGATTATTACTACTGTCTTCTACTCACAGTAGCAGATTATTACTACTGTCTTCTACTCACAGTAGCAGATTATTACTACTGTCTTCTACTCACAGTAGCAGATTATTACTACTGTCTTCTACTCACAGTAGCAGATTATTACTACTGTCTTCTACTCACAGTAGCAGATTATTACTACTGTCTTCTACTCACAGTAGCAGATTATTACTACTGTCTTCTACTCACAGTAGCAGATTATTACTACTGTCTTCTACTCACAGTAGCAGATTATTACTACTGTCTTCTACTCACAGTAGCAGATTATTACTACTGTCTTCTACTCACAGTAGTAGATTATTACTACTGTCTTCTACTCACAGTAGCAGATTATTACTACTGTCTTCTACTCACAGTAGCAGATTATTACTACTGTCTTCTACTCACAGTAGCAGATTATTACTACTGTCTTCTACTCACAGTAGTAGATTATTACTACTGTCTTCTACTCACAGTAGCAGATTATTACTACTGTCTTCTACTCACAGTAGCAGATTATTACTACTGTCTTCTACTCACAGTAGCAGATTATTACTACTGTCTTCTACTCACAGTAGCAGATTATTACTACTGTCTTCTACTCACAGTAGTAGATTATTACTACTGTCTCTACTCACAGTAGCAGATTATTACTACTGTCTTCTACTCACAGTAGCAGATTATTACTACTGTCTTCTACTCACAGTAGCAGATTATTACTACTGTCTTCTACTCACAGTAGCAGATTATTACTACTGTCTTCTACTCACAGTAGCAGATTATTACTACTGTCTTCTACTCACAGTAGCAGATTATTACTACTGTCTTCTACTCACAGTAGCAGATTATTACTACTGTCTTCTACTCACAGTAGCAGATTATTACTACTGTCTTCTACTCACAGTAGCAGATTATTACTACTGTCTTCTACTCACAGTAGCAGATTATTACTACTGTCTTCTACTCACAGTAGCAGATTATTACTACTGTCTTCTACTCACAGTAGCAGATTATTACTACTGTCTTCTACTCACAGTAGCAGATTATTACTACTGTCTTCTACTCACAGTAGCAGATTATTACTACTGTCTTCTACTCACAGTAGCAGATTATTACTACTGTCTTCTACTCACAGTAGCAGATTATTACTACTGTTTTCTACTCACAGTAGCAGATTATTACTACTGTCTTCTACTCACAGTAGCAGATTATTACTACTGTCTTCTACTCACAGTAGCAGATTATTACTACTGTCTTCTACTCACAGTAGCAGATTATTACTACTGTCTTCTACTCACAGTAGCAGATTAACTCAGTAGCAACTAATAAGTTGTCCCACACTGGCCCCCTCATTCACACCAATTCTTAACGAGTTGTCCTGGAGTGGACCCTGAATTTGGTTATGTAATAGGCAGGGAGGCCACTCTGGGAATACTCCTTGGTGCTGACAAACCTAGAGTGAGTGAGTGAGTTTAGGTTCAAGCTGCTTTTAGCAATATTCCAGCAATATTACCGTCGGGGACACTGGAAATGGGCTTCACACATTGTACCCATGTGGGGAATCGAACCCAGGTCTTTGGTGTGACAAGTGAACGCTTTAACCATTAAACAAACCCCAACGCCCCTGACAAACCTAGAAACATTATTGGAATGAACCAGCCTTATTCCTAAGAACTCATGTACGGTGTCTTCAGTTAAATGTTGCAGCTTGTTGAAGGTACAGGATCTACATGAGACTGACCTTCAGAGAGAGTTCCTTGTAGATGTATGGCCTCCACCACCTGAAGATGATCCACCCAAACTGAACCCGAAATGAGAAGTCCTCTGTGATGAGATGTACTTCCCGGAACATGATCTTCCCCGAGAGAACCGAGAAGGAGAAGGATCCTGTAACATGCAAGGAACACTTTCTGTATTCGACATATTGATCTCCCCAGTCCAATTCATGTTCCCAAAGGAAAATATAGTTGACTTTTAGGGCTGGATATCGACACTGATTATAGAGACCGATAATCATTAACTAAATATCGATCGATTATCGATAAATATTGGAGAAGAAACTCTGAGCCAAAATGCCAAAATAATTTCAAATTGAAAGAAATGACCATATTTTACATCACAGGTGAGTGATGACATGTATATGTGAGTGGTTCTCCAAATTTGTGGATTTTTTTGTTATATGTTTGTACCGACAAACTTAAGTCAAAATAAAAATAATAATTATGGTAACTAATTTATCTCAGTTTATTCAACACTTTACAATAACAAAATTGGGAAGAATAATGACAATTATTATGGATATACAACTTCTGTTTTCCTGTGGAGGCGACATTAGAACCTATGTCGAAACGTCGCCTCCACAGAATAAAACAAGTTGTATATCCATAATAATTGTCATTATTCTTCATCAACTCAACTTCTAAAATGCTCATCAAAGAAAACAAAATTGGGGAAAAAATATTTTTATATTCATTTTGAACCCCTCAAACCACCCAATTTTACTCAATTTTCATGTGTCACAACTCCAGTGGCCGATGTGCAATTCAATTCTTTTGGTCTTTTTCATCTTTTCCAGAGGAAATTATTCAAAATATCATAATTAATGATGTTACAGCTACATGCTTGGCATGGTTTGGCCTTTTTTTGTATGGAAAAACATTTTGTGAAGCCAAACAATGCCAAGTACCTTAGACAGCAGGGGGAAATCATTTGAAACCATGTGCACAGTAAACTTTGGGGACCAGTTATTGTTTTAAAACTGATATTGTTAGTGGCTGTCACTACCGTTATGGTCACTGCCGTTATCATGGGTTTTGTTACGATAAGGACAGATTTTGTGACGGCAGTGACATTTTTCTAGTTTAATGTAGTTTGTATCTAAATTTTCAATTCAAAGATTTCAAATGTTTTGGAATCTTATTTAACATAAAAAAATTGTATCAAATGAATAAAATCAATAAGCATATAAGAATGATTTTGTTGTTACAGTAAGGACAGGGTAGTGTAACGGCTGTGACAAAGAAGAAAATGGCTGTGATAGGGCCGTTACAGTAGTGACATTACATAACATCACATGTCACTGCTGTTACATGCAGTCTTTACCTGTTTTATACATGACAGGGACATCCATAAGTAAATCTTTTGCCTATTACAAATTATTCAAACATTCTTAAATATCTGACTGACAAATTTCATCAAATATCTTTTAAAGTAAACATATAAAACTGGCTATTATTAAAAATGTCACTACCGTTATTGTGTCACTACCGTAACGATTAATTCCAATGTCCATGCCATAACAATATGATTTTCCTTATTTAATCAAAATTGATTTATCTGTTTATGTCTGGAATTTGTAGTGCAACTATGTTTGGTAGTAGAGCTTCAAGTAAGCATAATATAAATCATATTCTCATTTTGAATATTTCGCTACATATTACTTAACATTTGCAAATCAGAAATGAAAGAATTTTTGTGACTTGTTGGCCCCTTTTGAGCAATAGATATAAAATTTCAAAACTCATTAGCCATGTTATATTGTAAAACTAGATAGTTTAATATATATGTACATCAAATAAATATCATCTTTGGATTTTTTCTTTTCAAAATGACGTTACAAATTTTCGTAATGGTAGTGACGCAATTTCATGAAATTTCTAATAAAAGGGGTAAAATATGAAAAATGAAACATTGTTAAGCTTGCCTAATTTATGTTTTGTATATTCAGAATACTATGAACGTAATCAACCACATTTCAAAGTAAAACAAGAAAACAAAATTTACAATTTTTGCCTACATGAAATATGCACGCATTTTGAGAATGACTCATGTATAGATAACTGATAAAACAGTATTCTGAACATAATTTAGAAGCAGACCATGTTCGACTGGTTTGTGAAATTTTAATGAATATCAAGGGCGAGTAATTTGAGATTGCATGAACCAAGAGAGTGAGTGAGTGAGTTTAGTTTTATGTCGCTTATGTCCAGCAATATCACAACAGGGGACATTGTGCCCATGTGGGGAATAGAACCTGGATCTTTGGCGTGACAAGCTAATGCCTTAACCACTAGGCTACCCCACCACCCCCACGAACCAGGAAAATGGATCCAGGGTCTAATGTTGGTTTACTGAAATAAAATACTTAGAGATAACATGACAGGGCTCGATTTAAGAGATGTTAACCTACTTGCACCAGGTGCAACCGAAGATAAAAATCTAGTTGCACCAGCCAAATTCCAGTTGCACTGCTTTTATTGCAAGATTTAATGTAAGAAATATGCTTAATATATTTAATGTACTGACTGAGTTTAGTTTTACGCCGCTTTTAGCAATATTCCAGCAATATCACGGCGGGGGACACCAGAAATGGGCTTAACACATTGTGCCCATGTGGGGAATCGAACCCGGGTCTTCGGCGTGACGAGCCAACGCTTTAACCACTAGGCTACCCCACCGCCCTATATTTAATGTAAGAAATATGAAATTATTTAGATGTTTTATTCAGTTTTTACCAACTCAAAACTCGAGTTGCACCTGGTGCAAGTTAGACAAATATCTAGGTTGCACTTTGTAATATTGGGTTGCACCCGTGCACGTAACAAAGCACTAAATCGAGCCCTGCATGATATACAAAGACATGTAAGGGAACATACCCAGTCTGATGTGTCCATATTTGACGAACTTGTTGATGAGGGCAGTGATGATGAGGCCCAGCACGCGGGAGTGGTAGTAGGAGAGGTACACCGTCCATGCCTGCGCCATCACTATGGCAATGAGGAGATAGTAGACTGTGGACTTGGGAAGCTCATCTTCTATCATCTGGATGATGGAAGAGTTGCTGTTCTTGATGTGATCCATGATGGCTGTCGTGTCTGTCTTCTCAATACACGGACAGAATTAGGTGTCTTCAAATGGGAAGGACTGTTGCATGGTGATCTAACACCTGAGGGAGATGAGAAGCACTGAACATGGTGAAACTGGTAAGTTGTAAACATACTGTTCAAACACCCATTTCATTCTCTTCAACAATAAACAAATTGCAAGAGCATTCATGGCATCTGATTGGTTTAATAAGTAAATATTTCATGTTGATGTCAAAACATCATGAGATAAATCCTGTCTTACTAATTATCATTGATGACTGTTCATGATAAGGGGCCGTTCATAATTTATGGCTGCTGCATGCGTGCGTAAGTGTGTGTCCAGGAATTTTGCACATATAAATATTTAAAAATTTATGCCTGAAAGTTTTGAAAGGGGGATGGGGGTGTCATTAATTTTGTACATGACATGCAGGGGGGTCATCTATCTTGTACATAAATTTTAGGGGGGTCATTCACATTGTACATGTTTCTCCATAAACTTCATCATCAACCCCAAGCCATAATTTATGGATGGTCCCTAATAAACATGTAAATTACTTTATTACCTATGAGGGCGAACATATAGGGGTTAATATTTTTCATGCAATGCCCTAAGGCAAAATATCACTTTGTCATGGTGACGTGACGTTATGAACAAGGCTATGACATCACATTTCTTCTGCGACATTGCCTTCTACATGCGGCGACGGCGGGTAACCAGCCTGTGTTTGAAAGTAGATTTGGGTTTATTTTCCTCAATTTGACGACTTTGGTAATAAACAGAATATTATATTCATGCCCATATCATGCTACGTTTACGACACTTGTGCCTAAATATCGGTAATTCCTGAGCGAGACGTTGTAAACATAAAATGACATGGGCACGGATATTATATCCTCTATGTATGTCATCCGATGTACTAGTAATATATAACAGGGTTGAAATCGAGTAAGTGAGAATGCTTTTAGCAATATTCCAGCAATATCATGTCAAGGAGCACCAGAAATGGGCTTCCCACATGTAACCATGTTGAGAATTAAACCTGGGTTTTTGACATGTCGTGTAAACGCTTTAACTACTAGGCTAACCCACAGTCCCTTATGTCCACAGAAATAGATTTGGGATGATTGTTTTACGCGGCGTTTAGCAATATTCAAGCAACATCACAGTGGGGGATACCAGAAATGAGCTTCACACACTGTACCCATGTGGGGAGGTCTTTGGCGTGACAAGTGAACACCTTTACCACTAGGCTTCCTCACCATCCATGTCAAGATAAAATATCAAAGTATGATACACACTCCTATAACCAACATGGTGATAATCATCACTTTGTGGAACCTGGGCCTGGACTTGCTTATGTTGCCAGTACTTTCCACTGAGCCAGTACCCCGCTTTTACTGATCCAGGGCTACAGATAAGGGGCGTACAGGCGTAATGTACGCCTCAAAATCAATTAAGTACGACATAATATAAGATTTCAAGCGTATCGTGTACGCACATAAATACCTATGTATGTCTAACATTTAATTTCCGTGTAAATGAAAATCTGTTTCGGATAAATACTTGTCAAGTTTCTTTTGCGAAACACGATTTGACACATGAGGAAACCCCGACAGTAGGAATCACTTGCGTTGCCATGCAACGATATGCATCACTATTTTTCGAATGGCTAAAAACTACACTGTTCCTATTTATATCCACTAGACATTTCGTGCATCACACGGTCGCTCAGTTATTTCTCAAGCGTCTTCAAATACAAATACATGGTTGGAAATAGTGATCGATGAATCGTCCAGACAAGCCACATCACCAACTCGCTCACACAAAAACATGTCAGTACTCCTTCAAAATTCTCAGTACACCTCCACTTACAATATGATGTGTAAGTACACTCACACACCCAATAGTTATCTGGAGCCCTGCTAATCTGGGACTAATGTGCTAGTGGTCCAATAAAACCTACTAAGTCCATATCTAGACATTATCGAGATATCGTTGCGGAAAAGGGACAATTCAACTTTAAGTAAAAATTCTAAAACTGATGGTCTTGAAAATCTACACGAAATGATTCCGATTAACATTGGATAACTAACATCGTCGCAGTTGTCTACTTCATATTGTTTCAGTTTTTACAATACAATTTGTTTCATTACAATTAAAACAACTACCAAATATTACAAATCGTGAGATTTGTTTATCAATACGATATTTATTTGATTGTCAATTGATGGAAGAAATCTATCATTCAGCGCGACATCGGATAGGCTCAGAGACAGACCGACAGCAAGGATAAGGCTATACGTCAGTTTCAAATTGGGGAAAAACTGTTCCTTGGAATATTTCAACACTGAAAATTACAAAGCATGGACATTGAACACAAAATACAATTACCTGCATCCAAATGTAAAGGCTTTACCAAGATACGGAAAATAACATAGCTACAGAAAAGCTTGTTTCCGGAAACGTTCCAGTTCTGCACTGTGCCATCACGCCATCTGAGCCTATTGTTCGACTTCTTGAGCCCTCAGTCAAACTCTTATGATGTTTATTTTCAAATATACTTATCTTTTGTAAGGCATGACATTTACAATATATCAAAAAGAGCAAATTACAAGCATACTTGGTAATCAGGAACCATAAAATAGAGTGCTCTTTTCGAAGATTCTTCGTTTACGAGACGAGTCGTAACACCATGACTCCATACAGCCTTTCCATTTTGCTCAGTGTGGAAAAGGGTTCGCTTCATAAATAACAGTGCGTTTGAGCCATCTGTATCTCGCCGGGTTATATGAGCTAAAATGAACACAACCACACGTACGGTCTCTCAACCAGCGTAAAATACCAAATTCAGACCCAGCGATCACAAAATTAACATTTCGCACGAGTGAAGAAATTTTTTATAAACACTTACATTAGTTATGATATGAAATAAGTGCATTCTGAACGCCGAATTCTGAGGCAGCTTTATGTAATCTTGAGCTGGGAGTGAGTTTAGTTTTACGCCGCCCTCAGCAATATTCCAGCTATAGTGCTGTAAATAATCGAGGCTGGACCAGAGTGAGTGAGTGAGTGAGTTTAGTTTTACGCCGCACTCAGCAATATTCCAGCTATATGGCGGTGGTCTGTAAATAATCGAGCCTTGACCAGACAATCCAGTGATCAACAGCATGAGCATCGATCTGCGCAATTGGGAACCGATGACATGTGTCAACCAAGTCAGCGAGCCTGACCACCCGATCCCGTTAGTCGCCTCTTACGACAAGCATGGGTTACTGAAGATCAATATTCTAACCCGGACATTCACGGGACCAAGAGCTGGGACGTTATCGGGAATAGTACTGAGAAGAATTTTTTTTTGTAGACAACTTTATTATACTTTAACAACGACGTTTTAAAATTGGTATTGATCCTTAATTGCTTAGGGACTGTACCGAAACCTGGCGAGATCTATTAAACTATGGTCAGAAAGTTGTTATCTATTAACCATTAATTGTCTTCCTTCATCCGTCAACTAGCTATGAAACAATTCAAGAAATAGTACTGAAAATCATATTAATGCTGCTTTTAATGATTTAATCAGTATGACATGACAATTTGACTGGTGACGAGTGAGTGAGTATGGATTTACGCCACTTTCATGGCGGCAGGGGACACCAGAAACTGGCTCCACATATCGGGGAAATCAATCGGCCCCGTGGGATACCTGGCATTGCAGTACGAGAATGTTGTGAACCGTTGTGCGGGATATACAGAGTGATGTTTCAGATGTCTATCGACGCCCATCATATGCCAACAATTTGGAAAACATCGCATATAATCCCCGTTCCAATAAGGTCAAAACCTTCAATAATTAATGACTACCGCTCTTACTCCAATAATTATGAAATGGTTTGAGCGAATTATCTTGAACTTAATTAAGCAAAATACTGGACATCTGATGGATCCTTTACAATTTACTTACAGGGCCGGGCGCGGGGTAGAAGATGCACTCATTTCGTTGTTGCATAAGATATATACTCATCTAGAGAATTCAAAATCTTATGTAAGAATCCTCTTTGCGGACTTCTCCTCTACTTTCAACACAATCCAGCCACATTTGATGATAAGGAAATTATTCAACATGGAAGTAAATAGTAACATCATCAAGTGGGTAGAGGCCTTCTTAATGCGACCTCCGTGTGTTTGGGTCAATTCAACTCTTCCTTACGTAAATCTTGTGAGTACTGGTGCTCCTCAAGGCTGTGTCCTGTCCCCTGTGCTCTTCACACTCTATACAGATGACTGTATATCTCACTTATCCACCTTTTGAATTTCAAATTTGCTGATGATGCCGCTTTGGTTGGGTTTTTCGTCAGTCGGAGTTACAGTACAGGAAAAATATTTACTTCATGGTGCAAAGACAACTTCCTCTCCCTGAACATAAACAAAACAAAGGAAATTGGATCCTGTTTGTATTGATGGACAGGAAGTAGAAACAGTAGAAGAGTATAAATATCTGGGTAGTATCATTGATAATAAACTTTCATGGAAATCAAATTCACATCGTGTACACAGGAAAGCACAACAGAGACTTTTCTTTCTGCGAAAATTGCGATCGTTTAATGTAGACACTACTATCTTCAAATTATTCAACCAATTATTTCACGCATGGTATGGCAATCTTCCTCTTATACAGAAAAACAAACTTGACAAAATTGTAAACATATCCAGCAAAATTTGTGCCTTCAATTTCGAACCTCTATCATTTCAGTATGCGTCAAAAGTTAAAAAGAAAGCTCTGGCCAATCAATCGGATCCATCGCACTTTTTAAATGAATGTTATGAATTTCTGCCTTCTGACCGCCGTTTCAAAATCATGTGTTACAAAACTAATAAAACTTCATGATCATTTTGTCCCATACAGCATCAAACTTCTAAATCTTCCTCCAAAACTGTAATAGTGCAATCAATGATGTAGCACGAGTTATTATTATTGGTTGTTACATGCTTTATATTGGCTCTTTGAATGCAAGACAAATTTCCCTTGCGGGACAATAAAGTTCATCTTATCTTATACCCTTGTGGGGAACCGAACTGAGGTCTTTCGGCTTGACAAGCGAACGCTTTAACCACTAGGCTACCCCACCGCCCCTTGCCCGCAAATTAATACATAAGATGTATGTATCTGTTTCATTGTTTCGATGCATTTCTTTGTGGAAACAAAAAATCGATTTTGTTTTTGCAAGGAGTACAACGATATTAGGCGGCCTTTACAACATACGGTAATTTTGTGTAAATCACTATTCACAGTATTCTACATGTCCTATGTTATCAGATGAAATATTCAGGGATGTAAAGATGTACAAAGGAAAAAAAACACACTTGTGTTTTTGATTATTTATAACAAATAGGTAAATAAACAACCAAAAAGACAATGTATTCTTTCTAATACTTTTGTTGCATACATATTTTAGAAATTTAAATTTTCGATTTGAACTCCCGAGAACTGACGTACATTAATCAAACAATATTCTTATATTCGGAAGTATATATATAAAATACATATAAAATATGAAATACAAACGAAACTGCGAAAGTGTTAACCTTTAAAATACATTAGTGTATTGTATGAACAATTTTAGTTTTCAACACTGCAAACAAATAATACAGACATCAAACCTAGACTAATGGGAGAAAATGCATGTATATATTTGTATAAGGGGTAAACATCCTGCGGTAGATGTTTGGTCGCGTTGTTAATGCGACCGAACCGCACTAAGCTGTGTCCAATTAAAAGAAGACACACATTTAATTGTTTCTCTGAAGATGGCGGGTCATGTAAGCTTTGCCAAGACTTGTCCGTATTTGGAAATTTTACGCGCGCTTTAAGATATATACGCATCTAGTCAGAAAGCGACCATAAAATCTCTAAATTATCGTCTCCGTGGGTGAGTGAGTTACGTCACACTCAGCAATATTCTAGCTATATGGCGGCGGTCTGTAAATAATCGAGTCTGGACCAGACAAGCCAGTGATCAACAGCATCGATCTGCGCAATTGGGAACCGATGATATGTGTCAACCAAGTCAGCGAGCCTGACCACCCGATCCCGTTAGTCGCCTCTTACGACAAGCATGGGTTACTGAAGGCCAATATTCTAACCCGGACCTTCATGGGTGATTATCGTTTCCGTATGTTAGTTCGTGCGCACCTTCTGCCGTTGTATATCACCACGCTTAACACTATTCCAGCTGTATGACAGAGACCTATATATAATCGAACTTGGATCAGAAACTTACGTATTTTATGTTCCAGAAGCCGTGTAGGACGTTAACATGTGATCAGTCACGTCGGCGCCGATCCACGAAGCGTTCGTAATGTTATGAGCTATCGTAACTATATACTTTACCATTAGCTTACTAATGAGGTGGGGCGGTGGGGTAGCCTAATGGTTAAAGCGTCCGCTCGACATGCTGAAGACCCGGGTTCGATTCCCCACATGGGTGCAATGTGTGAAGCCCATTTCTGGTGTCCCCAGCCGTGATATTGCGGGAATATTGCTAAAAGCGGCGTAAAACCATACTCACTCACTCACTCACTCACTCACTCACTAATGAAGTAGTGCTACGAACGCATTGTGGTAACTGATTTCGTTAGTTGTTTCTTACCAGCAGCAAGAGGTTGCTGGAGAACATTGAAACATCCACGAGGGAGAGAAATGGTGTACCTCAACTGTGCCCACTTTTCTTAAAACAACAAAATGCAGTCACCCGTAGAACAATAGGGGGGATTAGTGATAGTTTGTTTCAAGGTAAATCTGGTGACACCGTGACCACAAGTCTCAATAAATTGGTGAACACTAACAAATGTCACAGCCATGTGTATATATGATAAAACAAACCCCTACTTCATCATCATGGCTAATGCTCAAGTTGTTGTTCAGTACATTGATAATGCACAGGGTGGACAACATTTGATATATGGTAACTATAAGTTTACGGTTATGAACCGAAAGAATAATAGAGTCTACTGGAGATGCTGTGTCACAGACTGCCGAGCGACACTGAATATGAAGGAAGGATATCACTATAGTTTGGGATGAAATGCATGTGGACCCAGTTTTTTAAAAATATCTCTTCATCCAATGACCCAATCGATCTCAAACTGTGCAAGTGGATGTTTTGTCAGACAACCTAATCACATTGTAAATCACCGATTTTATGCATTTGTATTAAAGAATCTGTCTATGTAACTGTCAACAAAATAAACAGCAGAACGCAGACGGCTTGCAGAGGGAGAGAGCCAATGACCTGTAACAGCGGCAGTCTTGTTAATACATTATTACTTCAAACTCATTACACTTATGTCTTGCTGAGTTAATGCCAGTTACATACGAGGGCCTAGATTTTCGAAGCTCTCTTAGCGCTAAGATAGTCGTAAGTTAATGTTAAGGTATGGCACTTACGACTATCTTAGCGCTAAGAG